CCTGGGGGACCCAGCTGATGTCCTGCCGATGTCCCAGGTGGTGCTGGCGCTGCCCTACGACACCCCCGTGCCCGGGTACATGAACAACACCGTCAACACCATGCGCCTGTGGTCGGCTCGGGCACCCAATGACTTCAACCTGCGCGACTGTAAGTGGGTGTCAGCAGGGGACAGGGCGCAGGGGGGTGTCCCGCACCCACCTTATCCCTCTGCTCCTCCCCAGTCAACGTCGGAGACTACATCCAGGCTGTGCTGGACAGGAACCTGGCGGAGAACATATCCCGTGTCCTCTACCCCAATGACAACGTAAGTCACGGGGTGGGGAGAGGGGGTGTCCTGGTTTTAGGGACGGCACGGACAGCATGGAGCAGCCCCTCCTCGCCAGGGCATTGCAGAGATGTTTTAGTTGTGTTTCCTGATCAAGGACCTGCTGGAACGGGGCCAGAGGAGCCACGGAGATGGTCCGAGGCTGGAGCAGCTCCCGTGCGAGGACAGGCTGAGAGAGTTGGGGGTGTGCAGCCTGGAGAAGAGAAGGCTCCAGGGAGACCTTCCAGCACCTCCCAGTGCTGAAAGGGGGCTACAGGAGAGATGGGGGGGCTCTGGATCAGGGGGTGCAGGGATAGAATGAGGGGGGATGGTTTTAAGCCATTTTTTTCAAACCAGGGAGAACAGGTTTCGATGATGCTTGGGACGGGGAATTAAACCTCTGTTTGTACCAGCACATCCCCAAACCCCTGTGCTGAAAGCTGGAAAGTGAGAAGATGTTGGGGTTTGAGCTGCTGCCAGCACTGGTGCTGGGGGTCTCGCACGGTGCCGTGGGGTGGATGTGTGCCGGCATAGCCGGGAGCCCCGGGGAGGTGCAGCCCCTCCGGTGCAAATCCCGCATCGCGGTGCAAATCCCGCAGCACCCCACTTCTCTGCTCACAGTTCTTCGAGGGCAAGGAGCTGCGGCTGAAGCAGGAGTACTTTGTCGTGGCTGCCACCCTCCAGGACATCATACGCCGCTTCAAAGCATCCAAATTCGGGAGCACGGACAGTGTCCGAACCGTGTTTGATTCCTTCCCAGACCAGGTAGGAGCCAGGGTTGTTCCGATGTACACCTTGGAGCTCGTTTCAGTGCCTCCCAGATGCACACCCAGGGCTGGAGGGGTTTTTGTGGACCCTCCATGGGTGGGACAGCAGGCAGTGGGACACCCTCGTGTCCCCATGTGCCACCCCTGCTGTCCCTGCAGGTCGCCATCCAGCTGAACGACACGCACCCCGCCATGGCCATCCCTGAGCTGATGAGGATTTTCGTGGACATCGAGAAGCTGCCGTGGAACAAGGTAGGGACCTGACCTGGTCCTTGGGTCCCCACGACTTGCAGTTCCCCTCCCACCCACCCACGGCGGAGGAGCTGGGGACCCAGTTTTGGAGCTGGGAGCGATGGGGACCATTCAGGTTGGGGTTAACCAGTATGGATCTGGGGGAACTGGCCCAGTGGGAGGACCATGTGTGGGTGCTGGCACCCACCTGGGGTTTTTTTTTCATCACCGGCTCCCCGCGACAGGCCTGGGACATCACCAAGCAGACCTTCGCCTACACCAACCACACGGTTCTCCCCGAAGCCCTGGAGCGCTGGCCGGTGGACCTGGTGGAGAAGCTGCTGCCCAGGCACCTGCAGATCATCTACGAGATCAACCAGAGACACCTGGATGTAAGTGGGGTGGCATGGGACCACCCCTGGGAGAGGGGGATGGGGATGGCACACGTGCTGTCGGGATGAGGGGGATTCACAAACCGCTGGTGTTGGGCATGTGGCCGGGTGGTTCTGGTGGCTCTTTTGGGAGGTTGGTGTCCAGGAACGTCCTTCCCACCACTCTGTCGCCATCCCATAGTTTGTGGCTATTTTAAAGACTTCGCCCATTGCTCCAGGCCAGGCTGGATGAGGCTTTGGGCAACCTGGGCTGGTGGGAGGTGTCCCTGCCCATGGCAGGGGGTGGCACTGGATGGGCTTTAAGGTCCCTTCCAACCCAAACCAGTCTGTGATTCCAGGGACGTACCTGGTGGCATTTCTTTGCTCCCTAAATGCTAAATTCCTCCTGGAGAAGGATGGGGATGAGGGTACAAAGGGAGATGGTGGTTTAACCTCCTGGTCTGGCAGCACGAGGCTTTTGCCCAAACAGCCCCACTGGCCAAGCGTGTGGCCACAAGCTCCTCTCCATGGGATCTTGGGGTCACTCTGTCCAGAGACGTCCATTCTGGGGAAGGGAACCCTTGGGAGAGGGTTTGTACTGTCACTCTGGAGTAAAAGCCACCGCTCTGGCTGGTGTCAAATACATTGGTGACATTGGCTGTGGAGCCATTGGGTGGGACATTCCTAAGCACCGACACCGCTCACCACCTCTCCGGCTTCCACTGGCAGCACATCGCGTTCCTCTTCCCCAACAACGTGGACCGGCTGCGGAGGATGTCCCTGATCGAGGAAGGAGGCACCAAGAGGATCAACATGGCCCATCTCTGCATCGTCGGATCCCACGCTGTCAACGGCGTGGCGAAGATCCACTCCGAAATAGTCAAGACTCAAGTGTAAGCACGAGGAGGGTGGCGGTGGTGGGTTACCCTTGGCTTGGTGGTGGTGGTAGTGCCGGGTGGGCGAGCCTGAACCTTGCTCCTCCTCATCCTCGCAGCTTCAAGGACTTTGCAGAGCTGGAGCCAGAGAAATTTCAGAACAAAACCAACGGCATCACCCCGCGGCGCTGGCGCCTGCTCTTCAACCCGGGGCTGGCGGAGCTCATCGCGGAGGTAACGGCGTGGGGGGAGCGTGCTGCCCCCCAACCCTTCCCAACCCCAGCGATGGGGCTCCAACCTCAGCCATTTCCATCTCTGAAATGCTCAATCTCGGCATGTCACCCATGTCCCCTGCTCCTGCTGGCTTTGCTGGGAGGGGGAGAGCAACATTGCCTGCTGAAGGTGGCCGTCCCCATCCTGTGGTCAGCATCTACCTGTGCTGCGGTTGCAGAAAATAGGGGAGGACTACGTGCGGGACCTGAGCCAGCTGACCAAGCTGCACGAGTTTGTGGATGACGACCTCTTCATCCGAGAGGTGGCCAAAGTGAAGCAGGTGAAGGGTGTGGGCAGGGGGGGATGTAGGCATTGGGGACAGTGACACCTTCCCTGCCCCTCGCCCAGGAGAACAAGGTGAAGTTCGCGCAGTACCTGGAGAAGGAGTACAAGGTGAAGATCAACCCTTCCGCCATGTTCGACGTGCACGTGAAGAGGATCCACGAGTACAAGCGGCAGCTGATGAACTGCCTGCACATCGTCACCATGTACAACCGTAAGCCACCGCTGGGGGGACAGGATGTCCTGGGGGTTCACGAGCATCCCTGTCCCCTGGGGTTGTAGCTCAAACAGTATGGTACCACCCTGCTGTCTTCTCCAGGCATCAGGAGGGACCCTGCGAAGCTGTTCGTGCCGAGGACGGTGATCATCGGGGGCAAGGTGAGTCCATGGAATGGTTTGGGTTGGAAGGGACCTTAAAGATGGAGTTCCAACCCCCTGCCATGGGCAGGGACACCTCCCACTAGACCACGATTTGGGTGCAGATGTCTCATGGGGCTGTGTCCATGATGCTCCCCAGGAGAGCACTTGTTGGCTTCAGCCCAAGCAAGGCACCAAGTTTCTGGCTTACGGTTGTGCAAGCCCCCAAAAACTTGGTGGTGCAACACATGGGTTGGATAAGGTGGGGGGAGGGGGCTGAGGGGGTGCTTCCCCATGCACGTGGGAGCTGGGTGCTCCTTACCTGCTACTGGACTCACCCGTGGCTTCTCTCCTAGGCTGCCCCAGGATATCACATGGCTAAAATGATCATCAAGCTCATTAACGCAGTGGCTCAGGTGGTGAACAACGACCCCGTTGTGGGGAACAAGCTGAAGGTCATCTTCCTGGAGAACTACAGGGTCTCTCTGGCAGAGAAAGGTAGGGAATGCTGTGGCTGTCCACCAGCCCATGGCTCCATCACTGGGAGACAGCAGCTCTAATGTCCTTTGGCATGATGCAAACGCAAAGGTGGTCACCATGAGCCCATCGTGTCCGTGTGTTTTGTTGGCAGTGATCCCTGCTACCGACCTGTCGGAGCAGATCTCCACGGCAGGCACCGAGGCGTCGGGTACGGGGAACATGAAGTTCATGCTGAACGGGGCTCTGACCATCGGCACCATGGATGGAGCCAACGTGGAAATGGCCGAGGAGGCGGGAGAGGAAAACCTCTTCATCTTCGGCATGAGGGTGGAGGATGTCACGGAGCTGGACAGGGCAGGGTGAGGGCTGGGGAGGCTGCAGTGGTGCCACCATGGACATCCAGAGCTGCACCATCTCACATCAACCCTTCCCACCAGGTACAAAGCCCAGGAGTACTATGACCGGCTCCCGGAGTTGAAGCAAGCCATTGACCAAATCAAGAGCGGCTTCTTCTCCCCAAAGGAGCCTGACCTCTTCAAAGACGTGGTCAACATGCTCTTCCACCACGACCGGTGAGGCATGGGATGCCATCCATCCCCTGGGTTGGGTCTCTCCACAGAACTCCTGGTGCCGGTGCCGAGCAGCCTGCACCAACCAGCCACCCCCTGGCTGATCAGGTCCCATTTTTCTGGCCCTGATGTTGTCCACGTGGAAGAGCAATGGATGCTCCACGGGTACAAAAGCTCTCCATGTACAGCACTTCCTGCATTAAAGCTTGGGCTCCGTTAAGGCCAAGAAGCATATGGATGCACAGCCCGCACCGGATGATGGATGCTCTTGGGTATCTCCAGGGTTTTCCTGGCCGGAGCACTAAGCAGCCATGAGTGTTTCCATCAGGGAAACGTTTTCCCAGCATGGGCTTCCCATGGGCTTCCAGGGCTCTATGCAAACAGGGCTTGGGCAGGATGAAGTGTTTGGGTTGGAGGAAGCCCCAGATCTGGCCACCTACACCGTTCTGCTGTCATTGACCCCCCCCTTTCTTTGCTTCTACAGGTTTAAAGTTTTTGCAGACTATGAGCCTTACGTCAAATGCCAGGAGAAGGTCAGCGAGCTGTACCTGGTGAGTGGCAGCCTGAGGACAAGGCTGGGGACCATCCTGGGGACACCAGATCCCAGCCTGGAGAAGGGGTCTGGTGGGGCTGTGCACGTAGGTGGCCTCCTGGTGAGGAGGAGGAGGATGCTGTAGGGGATCCCTGGTTGACAGCCGGTCTCGGGGACAGTGCAGCACCCATGGGTGCCTCTGGTCACACCATCCCACCCCTCTCCTTGCAGAACTCCAAGGCGTGGACCAAGATGGTCATCAGGAACATCGCAGCAGCCGGCAAGTTCTCCAGCGACCGCACCATCAAGGAGTACGCCCGGGACATCTGGCACGTGGAACCCTCTGATCTGAAGATCCCACCGCCCAACGAGCCCCGGGACGCGGCCGAGGACAAGACCCCCAACGGCACAGCGGCGTAGGGGCACGGAGCGGCCGAGGGACGCAAGCGCGTACGGTGTAAATTTGTTCCTGCTGCCTAGGCTCTATGTTCTGCTGCTGGCTTTTCTACGGATGGGGAAGGGAGGGATTTTTTATAATGCAAGTGTCGTGCGGAAAGGAAAACCCCCTTGCTCTGTTGCTTGCATAGGTGTTAAAATAAAAGTGTCATTGGAGCCCAAGGGGCTGAAATTAGGGAGTAATTAGGGATGCTAAGGGTGAAAGGGGCAAGCTGCTGGGGATGGGGCGGGCAGCACAGCTGGACACAGCTGTCTGAGCCCTTGCCAGCGATACTGAAGCAGGACTTGGGGTGCAGCTGGGGGTTTTGCAGTCACACCCCTGCACCCCACAGCTGCCCCATGCGATGCTCCTGCTCGCATCCCGCATGCTTCCCTCCCCGATCGCAGCGGTATCTCTGTCCCCTGCGTAACCTGCAGCATTCTCGAGGCAGCGGGCGATGTAGAAAGTTTCTCAGTAGTTTTTATTTCGTAGAGCAGCAAGTTCAGTGCCATGAGGGGTTCCTGGGGAGGGCTGGAGGGAGCGCTCGTGGTTGCTGCATCACTTCATGTGCAAGAAGTCTCTGCAATGAGATGCAATAAACCTTCTGTATCACCCACCCTCCTGCGCTGCTCGAGAGCCTCATTTCTGAGCCCTGGACGTGGGGCTGAGCTGGTTCTGTCCCCAGGGCCACCTCCCCGTGACAACCAGGCTGAGGATGGGCTCAGGGCAGCGAGACAGGGACCAGAGCTCCAAAACTGATGCCAGCAAGCACAGGAGGGAGGGGAAGGCATGTCCCCCCAGGGGAGGATGCACCCCTGGAAGAAGTGGCCAAGGCTCATGCTATGCCCCCCGCCAATTTCAGAGCAGCACTTACTTCACCAGGGCGGGCAGCTGCGGGTTGAAGGAGATGTAGTCGTGGCCCAGGCCCAGCTTTTGGGGAAAGGTAATGAACTTCACCTTGCTTTTGTCCTTGTAGGCGCT